GATTTAGAATGATTCAGAGTCTAATCAGTCAGTTGTTCAAGCTAGTTACTAATGAAGATTAATCAATGTTAATTGTGTAAATGGACAACCTAACTGCAAAAAATAGGCGTTAAACGCGGTACTGGTTTCTGGTTTGACAAAATTTTAATCGCAATTAGTTTATCTTTTAAAGGTGTTTAAGTTTCTAATTAGTTTCTACCAACTACCCAAATTACCTCATAGGCGGTTGCACCCTCCCCCGCCTAAGGCATGATAAGAACATCAGCGTAACTGTGCGGCCAGTACGTGGTAGGGGTGGTCAACTCTTTAACTGATATCATTTTAGACCGCCTGTAAAACTCCCAATCTCGTTTCCACTTTCGCGTAATTTGGTTAACTTTTAAGTATTGTGCAGTGTTTGTTGAGTTCGATTTTTGCTTCGGTACTATTCAAAAATTGGAAACAATGGATTGCATAAAGTTTTATTATGTTTAGGTACTTTTGTTTCTGTTAATTATATTTGTTTTATGTGCATTTGAAAGGAATTAATTATAAGTCATCTAATGAAAGCTTTGATGTTTTGCCGCATGTGAAAAGTTTTTGCGCGCACGTTTTAAAACTTTAAAACTGTCTGAATTGCCTTTGGCCGATTTGTCTTACTCATTTTGACTGAATTGTCTGAATTTGAAATTGGCTGATATGTCTGTGACCGAATTGTCTGAACACCATGTTGAACGGTGTCCAACTCTTTCAACCCACGCTATTTAACCCCAAACATTCGCACCCCCTACTTTATAACCCCGTAACAAGATAACCCCACGACAATTTAACCCCATTTTAATACCAATAAATAGCTTCAAATTAAGTCCTTTTTATGACTACAGGATTATTCCAATTAAGTATAATATTTGAGGCCTGAAAAGTCATTCTTAAAAGATGCCTCTAGAAACTCAAAAAAATTGCATTTCGATTCATTGGAGAAATAATCCCTCATTCACGCTTTTAAAACAGAGATAACTTACATTGTGCTAATTGAAAGCAACACAACAGTTTTAAAAACTTTACATAGAATAATACTGCCTTACACTTGAACGATTTTTTAAACTATTCTATGAGCTATAATGTTTGAAGTGTCCTTCCAATTTACTCTATCTTCTAAAGACAAACAAGTATTGGTGGCACCAGGACCCGAGTATTATCTTAAACGTAAGAACAAAATCACTAGGAACAGGAACTGCTCAATTACCAGACTCAAAAATGCCGAGTAACAGCAAATACCGATGGAGAAGTTTTTATTGATATAATCGGTGAGCATAATCACGGCATATCTACGGGAAAACCTGAAGCCTGACTAGTTTTAAAAAGCATCAAGGATCTGAGCGAGAGTAATACCGCGACCGTCACAGTCGCCACAGCAACTCAGCCCATAAAGGACGATATTGTCACTCAATTAGCCCACCAACTAAAAAAAGTAAGTTCCAACTGCACAACGCATGCGCAAGCAACGATAACAGGTCTACCAATCTCCTCAGCAGCAAGAAATTTTGAAATACTCGAGTTATTTCAGAACTTTGTAAGATTTGTCAGTGGACAAAATGATCAAGAAATGATTATTTTATTCGGCGCCCCGGAAACGCTACGTGTGCTCGAACGTTTTTGTTGGCTGACGGAACTTTCAAGGTTACACTTAAAAAAAAATTATCAATTTTATTCATAACGTTTTAGTCTTTTAGGACCAGCCCCCGCTTGTTTATGTACCTTCTCATCAAAAAAAAACGATAAAAAACATACCACCGTATATTAGACGCCCTAAAAAAAACTTAACACCTGACATTAGACCTGATAATTTGTTGCTGGGTTTCGAACAGGAGCTCTTCCAACGATTCAGAAAATGTTCCCAGAGTCCAAGCTGTCTGGATGTTTTTTCATCTTTCTCAAAATTATATGAGATAAATTGCGGAGCTCGGATTAAGAAAGGAGTACGAAACAAACCGCAATTTTCATTAGCACTTAAACTATTACCATCACTGGCTTTCGAAAATGAATAAATAAGACTTTCATACGATAAAATAGTCAAGGAAATTCAAATAGTATGAGATCGCACAATAAAAGAGTCGGAAAAAATGCAAACGTTGACGAGCTCTGCCTGTTTTAATTACACTGAAAAAATCTCGTCCAGAATAGAGAGAAGTCATATTCCTCTTTTCACTATGGAATCGAAGAGATGCGGTAACATCCGGTTTGGCAAGAACAACAAACGCTGTAGAGGGCTGGCATTATGGCATACAGTCATATTTTGGTGGTTCATACATCAGTATACAGAAAGTAATCGCAAGCTTGCAAAACAGACGCCTCACTCAAAAACTTAATTTCTCCAACGCCTCGAGCGGACACCAATTTACAAAAACGAAAAAACACCAAGTCCTAAACGAAAAAGTGGAGAATATTATGCCGGTTTGCGAAGAGAAAACTGATTTGCATTTCTTTCGCGCTATGGCGAACTTAAGCTAAATATTTGTTCATCTGTTCTTTGTATATATTTTAAATTTAGAATGTTGTTTGTCATTTTTTATGAGAAAAGACGCCTATTTGCAGCCTCCCGGAGACGTAGAAAAAAAGGTTTCATTGTATATTTCATTTAAAATCAGCCCAGTAATCTATTAATAGCAATATTATTTCAAGATCAAGTTCAATTTTGGAGAAATTTAATCATTTATGGCCAATAATTTGAATCATGCTGATCGGATTAGTTTTCAAGTTCATATCAAAATCTAGATTATCGGCAAGGTCATTTCTGTTGAAATCTCAGCCGAATTTAGCAGCTTGCATGTTAATTCGTTTTCTTTTGCAAAAATTGTTGCAATTAAAGCTCTGATGTTTACCGACGCTACGGTTCCGAATTGCTTTCAAGTTAACTTCTTTTTGATTCAAACAATTGGTAAAAAATGGATTAAATTGTATTGGGATTATCTAATTCTGGGGTTATATGAGCGGGTTTCAGAAAAAGTGGTTTAAAGAAGCGGGGTGAAAAGCTAGGGAACCATGTTGAAGACAGGGAAAAATTGCAATCACTTTCATGTCCAAATGAAAAAACAATGTGTGTCATAATGGAAGAGTCGATAAGCAACCCATTAGGAATTAAAATCGGTTATTGCTCTTTTTTTTTAACAGCAATTTTTGGTGAAAATTCGGTTTTTTCCAACTTTTTGACTGCTCACTGCTATTTTGTTGATGTTCACATTGCGAGGGATGCTTCCTTTTTGCGTGCCCGCGTGGAACACTACTTGCTGTACCTAGAACCGAAATTTAGTCCTACGCAATTTTACGTTACCCAATTACAGCAGCAACTATAAAATTCAAGCCGATCGATGCTTTGACCTTATAAAGCAATTTCATTTTATAGCTACTAGATTTAGTCCTTTAGAGCTTATTTCAGCCAGCGATTTCAAAGAAAATTTCTTGTAGAAACGAAGGGATCTTCTTTTAATATGCCAAGCTGAGTGCCATTTATGATCAGAAACAGAAGTTCAATTTCTTCCTTCTTTAACTTAGTTTGGCGCCTCAACTGAACGGTTATTTTTTCTTCATTTGTAGCTCTTAGTGCTCTTATTGAACAGGTGAATTGCTTTGGTTAGTTTGCATGTTCTGACCGAAGAATTGCAAACTGTTCGTATTTTCATTTTAGTTGATGCTCTGATAACGTATATCAAATTTTACTTATTTTTTCAACTCTAACCACTCCAATTCAAAAGGCTGTCTTTTGCTTTGTTGCATGTTCTGATTCAAAAACGCAGGCTGATCTTAGTTCAACTTTGTTTGAATTTCTAACTGAATCTTCATTTGTTGTTTTTTTTTTAAATTCCTAGCGTTCTGATTCAAGATTTTGGGTTAGTTTGCATGTTCTGATTCGATAAATGCAAGCTGTTCTGTTTTAGATTCCTTGGATTTTTTTTACTTGGAAGAAAATTTTAAAAGAATATTTTTACTTTTCGATTTTTTGTGACCAAATCTTTAAACTTGATCAGTCTCGAATTAGATTTTTGGCTTTTGTACTTACAATTTGGGAGATGAATTTGAAGTTCAACGCAAAAACATCTGCTCAAAGAAAAGTATTCCGCTCTACAAATGAGAAAGCGGAACGTCTTTTCTTTAAGAAAACAGATTTCAAGTTCTAGAGATTGCAACAGAATATGAAAAACATAGCATTCATCCAGTATCCCTAACGGGACTAAAATCACAAAAGCGTCTTGTAATTGAGCTTCAACGTAATGTTTCTCTTTTTTTTCGAGAGTTGAAAGTTTATGAAGGCAATCATTCTGTTCTATTTTTCTTGAGTTCGTTGAGAGCTTTCCAATTTTATGTTGGCTATATTTTGATGCAATTCTTTCAAGCCAAACTATGCACCTATTTTGAAATTTCTATTTTTCATATGAAAACTTAGCTGCGAAGAAATTAATATCTTTCGACCCTTGTACAGATTTGATGAATAAAAGTTTGGGCCTGCAGAAGCCGAAGAGTGAAAATTGATGCTGAAGCATTCAAACTCAACTTAAATATATTACAGTGAAAACTTGCAAGGTATGTGGTTTTGCGTTTGAATTACGGCAATTCGTTTCACAAGATAAGCGATATTATCAAGATGTACTAAAATCAAAACTAAAAATCAATATGGAATACTGATTCCACTGTTCGTGTGATCTCGTTCTCTTAAAATCACCGAAGATTAAAAATCGTCACAGAAAATAGGCTGTTGATTATTTTTGCACTGATTTTCGCAAATGGGATTACTGATCTATCATAATTTGTGAAGCTATTTCAATTTGAAACCGAGTTTGATTTTAAACTATCATAATTCGATTTGAAACTCATAACACTGAAACTTGTGAGTACTCGAAACCTACACTTAAACTAGGTCAAAAAATTACCAAACATTTATGTGGCTAAAACTTTTAAGAAGGCAATGCAACTTTGAAAAATGGGGAGGCACAAAACTAAACCACAAGGCCATTTCAAATCTTAGTTATAATTATTTATTTGGTCAATGATTGATTTCGAGGCTCTGAAATAAAACTAATTAAAAACTCGCACTAGCATACTGTTTGAGAAATTTGACAGAAAAGAGAGGAAAACTCTTGACTGTATTTTCTTCTTCTTTCTTTGCGTGCTTGAGATATCCCAACAACATGCCTCCGTCTTTACTATCTGGTCCCTCGACACAGATCAAGTCGCCCCTTCGGAACACCAGAGTTGACTCTGAGTAGGGCACCCCGTAGTCTACCAGAGCCACTGCTTCTGTAGGGTAGTGCATAGAGGGCGAGTAGCCCGGTGGAATGTAGAGCAGATCAGCTAGGTCCTCTGCCAGATTCAAAGCATCGGCAGGCTTAAACAGAGAACAGAAAAATAATAGAGAACTAGCGCGTAACGCACCTCCTGTACTCATAAACCGCATATTTTAGAATTAAGATCTACATTCTTCGTGTACTCTGACAGCACCCAATTACAAAGTTCGTAATTACAAACTTGCAAAGTTTTTTCTTCAAATTTTTTATACAAATTTTGAAGAACCATAAAACTTTGTGAAGTTCTATATCAAATCTTCGAAAAATTTAAAATGAACTAAGAAACGTCACATCTGGGAAACTAAAAGCAATTGAGCAGTCGTATTTTGACGCAAGATTTGCAACTTTTGAGAGTACTCATATAGTACCCAACTACAACGTTGGGAAATTGAAATTTTGAGACACTTCACCTTAAGTTTTCTAAAAAAGGTATTGTTGAAAACCAGAAAAAATTTCACATCTCGAAAACTATCATAACTTCAGCAGTCTTATTTGATGGCAATATTTGCAATCTTTGAAAGTATTCTGACAGCACGCAACTACAGGGTTGGTAATTTCACTTTAAGGAACTATTTTGTAATTTGAGTTTTCTGAAAATTTCAAAAAAAAATTTCTTTTCTCTTAAAATAAAAATATTTGGGCAATCTTAATTGGAGGCCGAATTTGCAACTCCTGAGATTACTCTGACTACCCCCAACTACAGGTTAGGAATTCCAAACTTTGAAAAAATATAATTTTCATGAAAATTTTTTGAAAAAATCACAAAAAAAAACGTCATATCTGGAAAACTGCTAGGTTTTGAGCAGTCATATTTGGAGGCAAACTCCTGGGAGTACCCTGATAGAGTCTCACTACATAGATGGTAATTTCAAGTTTTGTGAAACTTTTTATATCTACGTTCTCTGAAAAATTTTGAGGAAATCCTAAAAAACGTGGTATCTCGAAAACTACAAGAATTTGAGCAGCCATATTCAGTGGCAAGGATCGCAACCCCCTGAGAGTAGCCTCACAGATTCCAATAACAGGATCGAGATAACGATTTCGGAATTTGAGCAGTCACAAGGATTTAGCAGTCATATTTGGAGGGGACATTCGCAATTCCTGAGAGTACTCCACAGAGCCTCATCACAGAGATGCGAAAATCAAATTAGGTGAAATTTTTCATATCTAAGTTTTCTGAAAAAGTTTGAAAAAACCTAAAAAACGTCATATCTCGAAAACTACAAGGATTTGAGCAGCCATTATCAGAGGCAAGGTTTGCAACCCCTTTAGAGTACCCTCACAATATCCAACAACAGGAATGAGAACTTCAACGTTTTCGAGTTTTTTAAAATCTAAGATTTTGAAAATTTTTTGAAAAAATCTTAAAAAACGTCATATCTCGAAAACTAAAAAGATTTGAGAAGTGCGATTTGGAGGCAAGATTCGCAACCCCTGATAGTAACCTGACAGCACCTAACTACAGCGTGAGACATTCAAAAATTTGGAAAAAATTTTTTAAATTAATTTTTCTAGAAATTTTTGAAAAATCTCGAAAATTGCCTATCTCGTAAGCTAAAAGGATTTGGTTATTCGTATATGGAGGCCAGAATCGCAAAACCTGAGAACCTCTGACAACATCACACTATTAGGTTGTTAATTTCAAACTTGATGAAATAAACACTGAATTTAAACTGGAAAATCGAACGAAAACCTTAAACATAGCAATATACGATATAGCTTAAACATGAAACAATTCTTTTGTTAAACATGCAAAAAATACGCTGAAAACGCCTAAAGATGGCGAGATAGTGAAGCCCGCATTTAAATATATAATAGATAGCTAAAAGTTGAAAAATTAAGAGACGCATAGACAGACATAATCAAATTAATTAAAAAAGCAGCTATACAGACAGACAGACTTAATTTGGCATCGCAAAAAATTCCTGAAAATGAATGACCTTGCGGAAAACTAATTGAAAAACTTTCTAAAGCATTGCAATATATGATATAGCTTAAACATGAAAAAATTCTTTCGTTAAACATGCAAAATTATTATGCTTAAACAAGGGAGATAGCTGTCACTCGCATTTAGATATAGTATAGATAGAAAGATAGATTAACCAAAATAAACAAAAAGAAACCAACCTCTGAACATCAAGATGAAACCACACTCTCAATATGCCGCTATCTTATCATCACTTTAAAATGCCCTCAGCTAGTTTGGTTGAAACTGATCTCATGATTTTTTCCAGAAAACTGCTATAATATTTGTAATATGTCATTAACTCATGATCATTTGTTTTCTCAAATTCTTAGTTATTAGAATGAGCACGCAAAATTATAACAATAATCAAACGCAGAACTCTTCCAACTATCTTGGAGTTTAGATAATGAGGCTTTTACGAATGTTAAAATGTTGGAGCATGGTATTGTCATCAATAAAACTTACATGTTCAAATGATATATTTACACTTAAGGTTTTATATGTGATTGCATGATATATCTGTCATGTTATGATGAGGCTTGGTATTCCTGCTTAACATTTTCCATTCTGCTCTGATCTCTCCTGCCTGATCTTTTGAAAGTGGTAACCGAAACACGACTCACCTCAGTGGCGACATCATTGCGCAGCTTGCCATACATGCCGGTCTTCTTGTGGACTGCGAACAGCCATTTTGCAGTATCCTTCACAACAGCCACTTCCTCATTTTCACCGCAGAGCAAAAACTCTGGGCCCTGAAAACAAAAGTGCATCCGACTGCTGTGCTAAACCGCAGAATTCTCCTACAAAATGTTTGAATATACAAAAAATAAGAATGATAGAAGATTTTTTTTCAATTGGTCCTCAATTCTTTTTTGTTTCCATATTTGATAGAAGGGGTTGAATAGCGTAAGAATTTAGATAACATCAGCTGAAACTAGCAAGAAGCAATAGTTACATAAGCTTAAAATTGATCCCTTCGTCTATCAGATGCATACCGGTTTTTCTAGACACGGAGAGAAATATTTTGAAACATAATTTTGGAGTCAAAATCACGAGTGGGGAAAAAAGGATTCAACATGACGCCACACACAACTGACATCAAGCGATCGTTCTTTGAGGTAGCTAACAACCCTAAAAACTCCAACCTACGTCATAATTACTAGCCCTGCCATTTTTCGAGCCATTTCACATAATAATAAATAAATATGCTGAGACATGTACTTTACCTGAATTAACCTGTAAAGTTCATACAGTATGACTACTGTTATTTTAGCGGAACGTTCCAAGCAAAATATGGATATGTCACATGTAGGCCGTGTCAGAAAAAAAAGACAGATGAGCCGGTTATCTCAAATTTTCAGCGCACACAAACGCTGAAGTTCTTGTCCAAAAAATATTGAGAAAGGTAAAAAAATAAAGAACACATTAGTAACCTGTTCTACGTTCCTTCAACCAAACCCTCAACTTTACTTACATTTTGTTCATTGACGGCGCTCGACTGATGACTGGTCACTCGATGGGAAAATTTAAACAGATCAGGCTGAAACAGATGGTTTTTTGTAAATTAAAACAATTCTGGTCATATATTGTAATCAGAGAAAAAAAACAACTAGCAGCTGAGTATATTCTTAGGGCTATTCTTGTGATTTTGTTCAACAGCATAATAAATTGTCTAAACGTAACATAGCCTTCAGACACTTGATTTTTTTGGAATAAAACAAACGTACATGATTCGATGATTTTCACAAAAAAAACTTCAAACTTCGGGTTAAATAGGACAAAGTTTATCATTTTTGAGCAAACTATATTTAACTAACTTTAGAAAATTGTAATTTTTCAAAATAGAATTTGATCAATTCGAAAAAAAAGGATTAACAGCGACTTTATTCCGCTGGGAAAACAAAAATTTATTTTAATGTATCTTAAGTGAATTGCAATTTTTGCGATACTTCTTTTGTACATGTTTTTTATTAGGAAACTTGTTAACTGAATTAGAAAAGTGAGTTTCGAGTTCAGGTCTTCAAACTGAACAAAAATTGAGAGCAAAGTCAATTTCTCTTTTAAATCACCTCGCGACAATGTCTGGAGTAGGCTTTTACTCACAAGAACTTTACCACAACACTAACTTGTATGTAATATCGACGAAGCGTATTCGAACTATCTCCTTCGAAATTGTTTCTCTCGGCGATAGGGTGACGACAGAAGTGTTCAATCAGTTCCCTCAAGTTTGCAAAACTGTCTTCTCTGTGCACACTAATACGCAGTCTGGTGGGGTTGTTAGGCACTGGCTCCACTAGTCGCTTATCAACCGACCCACTGTCTCTGCAAAGGGTACACAGAATTTAGAACTTGAATATAGAACGCACTTTCTGACATAGGATTTTCTCCCGAATCTTACAGGGGAGGCGGTTCGGAGCTGAGACGAATCTAGATCTTAAATCTTTTAATCTTCATCACTGCCATTCTTATACTGGCGAAGTTTTTAAGAAGGAGCGGTGGTGGAGTGATTATGTCTCCGTCTCTCAATCGAAAGGTTGAATGTCCGAGTCCCAGCATGATCCATGCTCTTTGCCCGAGGGTGAGGAAACATTACCAAGCCCAGAAAAATAGCGAAAAAATTGCATGTAATTCTTAATGAGTTAGGACCGAAGTGTATAACTCATAGAGTAATTTCGGATAGGGTACACCGTCTGCTCGTCACGCTATCTTATTTTCGGCCGGATAGATTCGTGCAACTTCTTAGTCTAATACCGATCCTAATCTTACTCTTATACTATCTAGTCTCAGGTTGTTTAACTAGTCTCTGCTAGGCTCAATAGATCTAGGGTATACTGGTTTATTGCGGCTGCTGAAGTGCTCGGGAGAGTCCAACTAATTTCTAAGTTAAATTCAAATCTCTCTGGTGCTGAAATTACAAGTAACTTCAGCACTTACAAATAAGTGGGTTGTTAGTTAGATGGATCGTGATTGGTTAATATTAAATACTTTACATTGGTAAAACATTTAATTTATCCAATCATAAAATATAGTTTAGATCAGGTTCCACCCATCCGGGTTTTACAGAGTTTTTTAGAATAGTTCTTTTGCAATTCGAAGGATGGATGATGGAAGTTGGTGTTTGGCGAACATCTTATTTCTTCTGTTTCCTTTTTGTTAAAGAAGTTCCAGGAAGCTGGAGTTAGAGACATAAGACGTTGTGTTCTTTTTGTGACAACGACTGAGTCTCTTCAACAAAATCAATTCTGATTTCAGAATGGTTGGCTATGTCAGGTTTTTCTGTTCTTCGGGGAGAACTTCTTTTGTGTCTGATCTAGCTTGGGAATGGCGTGGAGATTGTGCGTGGAGGGGATGCCTGGTTACTCGGATCTGTACGTACACTTGGGTCATCGAGGTGGTCATTGGTCTAGTTCAATGAAGTCCTTTTCTGCGAGGTCAAGTCGTACTCTAAATCCTTTGAGTTGTGATTGTGAGCGGCATATTGATTGTAGTTGGTCATTCTCTCTCGAGTGTAGTGGGGTCGTTTTGTCTTTAGATGTTCGTCCTTGGTGTTGTATTCTGATCTATGTATTGCATAATGTAATTTACATTTTATAAAACATTTACTAGTTTAATATTTTTTAATTATGATTTTAGTTAGTTGTTTTCACAAAAGCTTTTTGTTTTAGTTCGGTTATTTTGAAGAGTTACTCACACTTGAGTAGCTCTTATTAAAAATAAAGGTGTGGTCACAAAGCGTGGATGTAGCGCGGTGGGTTAGGCCGGCTATAGAGCATGCTCAGGACGTCCTTCCTGGTGGGTTAGGCCAGGAGTGGGAGTATGATTTCATGCGGTTTTTGTGAGGGGTCCTGTTATGTGACAACGTTTTATGTTGGGTTTGTTGTGGTTTTTCTTATGTTTTGTTGGTTGTGTCCTTTTTCCAAAAATCAAATTGTTTGTGGTATGGGTTTGTCTTTCGACTTTTTTGTGTTTTATTATTTCTTTCTTAGACTTTATAATAGTCTTCAAAAGAATAAATTATCCAGTTTTAAACTGGGTTAATCCGGTTTGGGTACCGTTGGTTTCCTTTTCTTAGTCATGCTGTTATTCTATGATTTGTGGTATTTAGTAAGCTGCGTTGGTTAGTTTTGTTTAGTATATGATTCCTTTCCAACCGGGTTAAAGGAAAGTTTGAAACATGTTATTATATGTTAGAGTTGTTGAGTGTGAAAACTTGAAACTGAAATTTATTATTTTAAACAATTCTTCGTGGGCGAGCTGTGCGAGTGTGGATAGAATTTCTGTGCGAATGAATGAAAATATCAAAAGGTTAGTACTGCAATTGCATTTTATTAATTTACTGCATAGAATTTGTAAATTTACTGCTAGTTATGGGGGAATTTTAAGTTACAAATTTTCATCATAATTAGATTTACTGCTTGTGGGGAAAATTTTAGAAATGAATTTACTGCATTGGTATTAAATTTATAAACTTATAAGTGTAAGAGATTAATAGAATTTTTGAAATCTGTTTGATGAAATTTGCGATTTTTATTTGTCTTTTGTGGTTTTTGTAGGTGATCGTCGGATGAAGGCTAAAAATCTAAAGAAAACATGAATAAAGTATGGTGAGTTTTTAATATTTTAATTAGTTAGTAATATTCATTTAATTCATACTTACCTGTTTAGTCGTCGGGGAAAAAACCGTGGGGGAAGATGTCGTGAATTAGTTCCGAAGTTGTTAGTAGTTTAGCTAAGATGCGGATGATATTTTTAGTCTGAAGCAGTGGCCAAAGCAATTGAAGTGCCTTAATAGTGGTTAGTTCTTCAGTGCCAACTGCAAACTCATAAGGTGTGTTTTGGATTAGATTATATAATTTGTGATTGAATTTAGTGTTGTGGATGAATTCTAAAATTGGGATTTCTATAGGTTGTACAAACTCGTGCGGGATAAGGAAGGGTCGGGATTCTTCGGCGTTGAAGGTCTTGGTGATGGGACAGAAGATGTACATTTGGGTTATGGGGTCATAATTACGAAGAATACCATGAAGGTTGGTATCTTTAATACAATATGTGAAATTTAGGAAAAATGGTGAAGTGTATTTGGAATTAATGAATTGAAAACGATGGTGTGGTTGTCTAGAGGGTGTGTGTAGGTCAAAGTGATTTTGGATGAAGCGATAATAACTATATGTGTGGGTTTGTTTAGTGCGCAACATAATATCGTGTGAGCAGTGTAAATCTCTTTCGTGTGGTGCAAGGAAATGAAAGGTTAGTGAAAATATTTGGAAGCGTTCTTTAAAACTTTCGTATGCTTGTGTGTCTGTTAGTGCTTCTGAAATAATGTGATCAAACTTTCGGTCGAAGATGTTTAGTGTGAATATATATGGTGTCTTGATGAAAAATTTCTCGGTAATTTGTGGATTAGCGAAGCGATCGTCGTCTAAGAATTGATCTTGGTTAGCTCTGATGATGTTGTGATCATAGTATTCGAGTGTATATTCGTTAGCTCTAGGTGCAGTGTGTGTTTTTAGTGATTTTTTATATCCAACGTAAGTAAATTGTCTAGCGGTTAGTGGTGTAGTGAGTCGATATAGCATGTCCGTATTTCGCTCTATATCGATGTGAGTGTTAGATAAAGGTAAGCAAAGAGGGTTAGTAAAATGATAATATGAGGTCCAAGAGAGAGTGGGCATTAAAACGTATTCATCTACAAAGTTGCGTGTTTCGTTAGTGTCGTGGGGGGTGTTTAAGGTGTATTGTGGGAATGAGGGTAAGGTGATGGCTAAAAATTCTTTTGTGTTAGTATGCTTGGGGTGGTTGATGTATTCACGGGCTGTTCCTGGTTTTGCTGGGAAAGGATGGTTGGGGAACTTTCTTTTAAAAGTGCGGTAAGCTCTATTAGTGTTGAGTGAAGATTCAGTTGATGTGGATGATGGTGCTAATGATTCAGTATAATTTGAAGAGGGTGTAGGGGTAGGGGGGTTGGATGAATTTATTGTGGAGGAGATTTGGTTTATGGTTGGGGTATTAAGGTGGTAGGGTTGTTGTTGAAGGGTAATAAAATTATCTAGCTCTGGGGAGATTCGGGGGGTGTCTGGAGAATGAGATGATTGGTCAGAATGGTATGAGGAGTAGGTTGGGGTAACTTGGGAAGCATAAGAGGGTGTGGGGGTGATTGGGTCAGGGTTATTGGATAATATGGGTTGAAAAGGGGGTTGAGAAAAATTAGAAGAGTTATGAAAATTATTGGATGGGGATGGTTCTGAGTCGGCAAATTCATCGGGGGTTTCAATATTCGGGTTATTGAGTTGTGAGATGGAATATAAAACTGAGATGTGTGAATTAGTATCGGAATTCATGCCTGATGTTACATTACTAGATGGAAAATCGGGTGGCGGAAAAGCAAAAAGTGGTATTATTGGGATTGGGGAGGTAAGATTGGTTGGGTGGGAATTTGATCGGTGTAGTGATCCAAGTTGGCGGCTCATCGTGGGCTAAAAAAATGATTATTTTGAGACTGAAAAGCGGTGGTATGGGGTTGTTCAATAATTTGTTCATAAGTATTATCATCTTGTGACTGGTGTGTCATTATATGTTGAATGGGACTTTGTGATGTGGTGAGTCGAAAATTTGGATTATGTGTGATGGCTAAATTTCGAAAATTTCGTGGGACTAGGGATAGTGGATGGTTATTTGGTAGGGGTGGTAATTGTGGTGCCGTTGGCGTTATGTCTACATTGTTATGTTCTTCGTCGTATGTATTTTGTCGTGTTGCTATTTTTGTGTTATATTCTTTTATTTGTGCGTCTAAAAGAATTTTGTTTATAGATGTAGAAAAGATTCCAAAAAATCCTGCAAAGAGTATGCGTGCTACACTTGCTTGTCGATTGACCTGTGTGTATATAGCACATGTGTTGTAGATTCCTTTTAAAAGTGAGAAAAGAAATCCAATAAAGTTAAACATTGCGTATAAAATAGTCAATTTTTCTAAGATGTAGTAGGGCCATCCTAGAAAATCGAGGATCTCATTTTTGAGTGTAACAAAGCTAAAAATGTTAATTGGTGATATATCTTGGGGACGGTATTTTTCACCGTTTAGATATATATAATCTTTAATGTCTTTAAAATATCCGCTATAGTCTTGCGTGTAGATATCGGCAAATCCTGCGGTTTCTGCAAGTTTGCGTAAATTTTGGTCTATTGATTGTCTTTGTATAGTGTCCATTTGTGTTAATAATTCTTGGAATTGTTGTGTTCTAATGTGATGTTGAATATCTGATTTTGAATAGATTCCTATTGATTGTAAGTCTATATTTGGGTTTCGAGCAATAGCGCGAATGCTT